CCCCAGGCGTCGGCCCCGGCTGCACGGACAAAACGCTGCTGTCGGCCATCGCCAGCGCGCTGCACACCAGCGCCGCGCCCATCACCGGCCAGCTGTCGGCCGCCGTGGAGAAGAACCCGGGGGTCTGGCTCAACACGGCCCAGCCGCTCTGCAAGGCCTTCATCGTCACCGACGAGGACATCAGGTGGGCCAAAGGGGCGAATCAGCAGGCCGAGGGCCTAGGGTGGTCACGATATGAAAATGTTCAACTCGATACCGATACTCAGGAAAATACTCGATACCATTTTCGATACCACAAGGATAAAAACAAAGACCCCAAAATTGTACTGAATTTTGACAGGTTAGTGTCTTTGGTCTGAAACTGACCTGTTACTGATGTTATGGTGGCCCACATTAATGACCCAATTAATGCACACGCCTTGTGCACCACAGATAAGGAAAAACGGTTTAAAGGACCCCAGATGAACTTCCTGTTTGGGCCTTTGGTCGGGTTGAGTTTAAGAGAAGAATTTCCCAACACGGTTTCCTGAGAAACAGCCGAATTATAAATCTCCCCTCAGTTAAACAGGAAACAACAGCTCAGGGAGCAACGGCCAGCGGGACATGTTGGATTTCACATTTCTACTTTAATCTTTACGAGGGGCTGAGGTTAATGGGGATGATTGGACTGGAGCTTTCTTAAAAAATTCCACAAAAAGTCACCGAAGGAAAGGAGAAAAACCTGGTTCTGCTCCAGTTTGAGCTGTAACCGCCGACTGTAACGGCTTCCTGTTGCGTGTCTGAGCAGGAAGCAGGAGGAGCTCCCGAGAAACAGCCCAATCATAAATCTCCCCTCAGTTAAACAGGAAACAGCTCAGGCCGGTGTGACACGTTGGATTATGGATTATGGGGTTTTTGTTTAAAAAAGAGAACAAACTTAAAGTTCAAACTTAAAAAAAAACTCAAAATATTTCACAGAGGCTGAGAAAAATTTGACAATATTCCTCCATTTGATTGAAACTTTGGTCCAATGAATAAAAATAAGGAAAAAAGTCAAATAAAATGAGGATGTATAGAGTGGAGGAATAATTAATACATCGATATTCTTCTTTTGGGGGTTTTGAGGCTCCCCGGTTTGTATGCCCCGGTTCACGAGGCAGGGCTCAGGCCGGCATGACATGTTGGATTTTAAATTTCATCTTTACGAGGGGCTGAAAGCTGCTTTAACCCTGTAATGCCAAATGTATCATATTTGATTCATATGGTTTCTGAAGTCTTTTGGATCTGAGACTTTTTGCAATCATTTAATGGTAAAAGCTTTGGAAGAAACGTGCCCAGAGGTGAGGTAATTAACTCTGAATATCCTGCTGTAAAAGGGCTATTTTCCTCATTGATCTCATGTATGTGGTTTTTAACCCTCTAATGCCAAATGTATCATATTTGATATTTGCTCAAACCCCTGTTGTACACATTCAGATATACCTGATAACAGCCAGTAGAAGACTACACCAAAATACATTTTTGACTTATTGTACGCTAATTTGATCCAAATAATGTCTGTTTTTTTTTCTACATATGTTGTTGAGGGGCCAAAGAAAGACTTCATTCTAAAAAAAATCCAATATTATTCCTATTTTTCTTGGATCGGGCTTTAAAGGGTTAAAAGTAATGTGGTTAACGGGGATGATTGGACTGGGAATTCCTTAAAAAATTCCACAAAAAGTCACGGTCTCTGCCTGAAGGAAAGGAGAAACCCTGGCTCTGTGCTCCGGTCTGAGCGGTTACGGCCGACGGTAACGGTTTCCTGTCTGTGCCTGAGCAGGAAGCAGGAG